TCCATCTCCTGCTCCCTCACCATGCCTCCGTCCATCTCCTGCTCCCTCACCATGCCTCCTTCCATCTCCTGCTCCCTCACCATGCCTCCCTCCATCTCCTGCTCCCTCACCATGCCTCCCTCCCTCTCCTGCTCCCTCATCCCAACTCCCTCCATCTCCTGCTCCCTCACCATGCCTCCATCCATCTCCTGCTCCCTCCTCATACCTCCTTCCATCTCCTGCACCATCACCATACCTCCCTTTATCACCTGCGTTCCCATCACACCTCCCTCCATCTCCTGCTCCCTCACCATACCTCCTTTCATCTCCTGCACCCTCACCATACCTTCTTCCATCTCCTGCTCCCTCACCATACCTCCTTCCATCTCCTGCTCCCTCCTCATACCTCCTTCCATCTCCTGCTCCCTCCTCATACCTCCCTTTATCACCAGCGTTCCCATCACACCTCCCTCCATCTCCTGCTCCCTCACCATACCTCCTTCCATCTCCTGGTCCCTCACCATACCTCCTTCCATCTCCTGCTCCCTCACCATACCTCCTTTCATCTCCTGCTCCCTCACCATACCTCCTTTCATCTCCTGCACCCTCACCATACCTCCTTTCATCTCCTGCTCCTTCACCATACCTCCCACCTTCGTCTACATCCTAACTATACCTTCCTCTATCTCCTTCTCACTCACCATACCTCCTGCCTTCTGCTACTTCCTCTCCATTTCCTGCTCCCCTGTGATATCTCCCTCCATCTCCCGCTTCCCTATCATACTGGTGCCTCATTCCATCTCCCATTGCCTCATGGTTCTTTCCATGTCCTGGTACCTCATGCCTCTTTTTATCCCCCTGAGTCTCCCTCCGTGACCTAATGCCTCTCTTTATGTCATGATTTTTTTTTTCTCCCTCCATTCAAGGCTGACCTGATACCTCTCTCTAACCCCTAGTGCCCCATGACTCCCTACATCCCAGATAGCAAGGATAACTTGCCACAAACTTGTGTCGGGATGAAATTGTAATTTGTGTTAACTCGCTGCGCACATTCCCGGCAGGTTGTAGACTCGCAGAACACTCGCAGCAGCACAAGTTCTCGGCGACACTTTTTGAATTTGTAGCAAATTTGCTCTGCAAGTCTCCAGCGAGAGTCCCGCAGGTCTGAGGAAGAGCTCCGCAAGCTCGCTGGTCTGGAGACTTGCTGTAATTGTGCAACAAAATTGTGAAGCTCGGCGAGTCTGCGATAGTTCAGCGAGTCATTTTCAAACTTGCAGCACAATTGCTTGCTATCTGGGATGCTGCTTTCATTCCCTGGTGTCATCCCATGCTCCTTTCAATCCCCTCATAGTGCCTCATTCCTCCTCCCATCCCCTGGTTTCTCTGTCCAGAGCATAGTGGCATATGTCTCCCTTCATGCCCATCCCTCATGCACCCTTTCCAGCCTCAGTGCCTCCCACTATGTCCTGTACCTCCTTCCATCTCATAGTGTCTCAAGCCTCCCTCAATGCCCAAGTGCAGCATGCCTCTTCCCATCACCTAGCATCCCTTCATGCCTCCTTCCACCCTTGTGCCTCTGCCTATCTCATAGTGCCTCATGCCTCCCTCCATGCTCCAGTTATTCATGCTTCCTTCCATCCCAGGTGCCGCTGTCTGTCTCCTAGTGCCTCCTTCCATCCCAGGTGCCGCTGTCTGTCTCCTAGTGCCTCCTTCCATCCCAGGTGCCGCTGTCTGTCTCCTAGTGCCTCCTTCCATCCCAGGTGCCGCTGTCTGTCTCATAGTGCCTCCTTCCATCCCAGGTGCCGCTGTCTGTCTCATAGTGCCTCCTTCCATCCCAGGTGCCGCTGTCTGTCTCATAGTGCCTCCTTCCATCCCAGGTGCCGCTGTCTGTCTCATAGTGCCTCCTTCCATCCCAGGTGCCTCTGTCTGTCTCCTAGTGCCTCCTTCCATCCCAGGTGCCGCTGTCTGTCTCCTAGTGCCTCCTTCCATCCCAGGTGCCGCTGTCTGTCTCCTAGTGCCTCCTTCCATCCCAGGTGCCGCTGTCTGTCTCCTAGTGCCTCCTTCCATCCCAGGTGCCGCTGTCTGTCTCCTAGTGCCTCCTTCCATCCCAGGTGCCGCTGTCTGTCTCCTAGTGCCTCCTTCCATCCCAGGTGCCGCTGTCTGTCTCCTAGTGCCTCCTTCCATCCCAGGTGCCGCTGTCTGTCTCCTAGTGCCTCCTTCCATCCCAGGTGCCGCTGTCTGTCTCCTAGTGCCTCCTTCCATCCCAGGTGCCGCTGTCTGTCTCCTAGTGCCTCCTTCCATCCCAGGTGCCGCTGTCTGTCTCCTAGTGCCTCCTTCCATCCCAGGTGCCGCTGTCTGTCTCCTAGTGCCTCCTTCCATCCCAGGTGCCGCTGTCTGTCTCCTAGTGCCTCCTTCCATCCCAGGTGCCGCTGTCTGTCTCCTAGTGCCTCCTTCCATCCCAGGTGCCGCTGTCTGTCTCCTAGTGCCTCCTTCCATCCCAGGTGCCGCTGTCTGTCTCCTAGTGCCTCCTTCCATCCCAGGTGCCGCTGTCTGTCTCCTAGTGCCTCCTTCCATCCCAGGTGCCGCTGTCTGTCTCCTAGTGCCTCCTTCCATCCCAGGTGCCGCTGTCTGTCTCCTAGTGCCTCCTTCCATCCCAGGTGCCGCTGTCTGTCTCCTAGTGCCTCCTTCCATCCCAGGTGCCGCTGTCTGTCTCCTAGTGCCTCCTTCCATCCCAGGTGCCGCTGTCTGTCTCCTAGTGCCTCCTTCCATCCCAGGTGCCGCTGTCTGTCTCCTAGTGCCTCCTTCCATCCCAGGTGCCGCTGTCTGTCTCCTAGTGCCTCCTTCCATCCCAGGTGCCGCTGTCTGTCTCCTAGTGCCTCCTTCCATCCCAGGTGCCGCTGTCTGTCTCCTAGTGCCTCCTTCCATCCCAGGTGCCGCTGTCTGTCTCCTAGTGCCTCCTTCCATCCCAGGTGCCGCTGTCTGTCTCCTAGTGCCTCCTTCCATCCCAGGTGCCGCTGTCTGTCTCCTAGTGCCTCCTTCCATCCCAGGTGCCGCTGTCTGTCTCCTAGTGCCTCCTTCCATCCCAGGTGCCGCTGTCTGTCTCCTAGTGCCTCCTTCCATCCCAGGTGCCGCTGTCTGTCTCCTAGTGCCTCCTTCCATCCCAGGTGCCGCTGTCTGTCTCCTAGTGCCTCCTTCCATCCCAGGTGCCGCTGTCTGTCTCCTAGTGCCTCCTTCCATCCCAGGTGCCGCTGTCTGTCTCCTAGTGCCTCCTTCCATCCCAGGTGCCGCTGTCTGTCTCATAGTGCCTCCTTCCATCCCAGGTGCCGCTGTCTGTCTCCTAGTGCCTCCTTCCATCCCAGGTGCCGCTGTCTGTCTCCTAGTGCTTCCTTCCATCCCAGGTGCCGCTGTCTGTCTCATAGTGCCTCCTTCCATCCCAGGTGCCGCTGTCTGTCTCCTAGTGCCTCCTTCCATCCCAGGTGCCTCTGTCTGTCTCCTAGTGCCTCATGCCTCCCTCCATTGGCTCACCATGCCATCGGAGCAGTTTGATCTGGGGCTGGAGGCATCCGAGTCCCCGCTGTAGGAGTCCAGCTGGGGGTAGTAGGGTTCTTCTTGCTCCCGTAGCAGGCTCTGCAGGCTCTCGATGTATCTGATGGCATTGCGCAGGATCTCCACCTTGGGAAGCCTCTGGTTGGGGTTGGCGCTGGTGCATCTTTTGAGGGTCTCGAATGCATCGTTGACTTTGCCGAGTCGTCTCCTCTCCCGCATTGTGGCCGCTTTCCTGCGGTCGGCGTTGGTGGTCTTCCTCTTGCAGGCTTTACATGCCCAGAGGAGACATCTGCCCGCCTGGTGGTGCCCACTGGGGGCCCGCACATGCTCCTCCTCGGGGTGCGGGCCATCCTCGGGCTTCAGCAGCGTAACATGCACGAGCCGGGGGTCCAGATCTTCGAAAAAGCTCATATCGGGGGAATTAAAGCAAGGGTCATCGTACAGATCGTACAAATCTGCCACTGGGGGGCCAGCCAATAGCTCCATGTCCGCATCTCACCCTGATTATGGCACCTGTCCCTATATAGTAGGGACCCTGTCACCCCGACCAATCCCTGCCTGGCGCCTCCCAGGGGCCACACACCCTCTCATGATTGGGGGAAAGTTTTCTCCCCTCATCACCTCTCCCCCCACCAAACGCTTAACAGCATTACAGAAGATGACAGGAGCTAACTGTCCACCATGGGGTTACTTCCTGCACTCTACAGAGGAGTGGGGTATCTACTGCACTCTACAGAGGAGTGGGGTATCTACTGCACTCTACAGAGGAGTGGGGTATCTACTGCACTCTACAGAGGAGTGGGGTATCTCCTGCACTCTACAAAGGAGTGGGGTATCTCCTGCACTCTGGAGTGGGGTATTTCCTGCACTCTACAGAGGAGTAGGGTATCTACTGGACTATACAGAGGAGTGAATGGGGAATCTACTGCAGCGTACTGTAGAGTGCAATAGATACCCCAGTAGATACCCCTGTCTTTACACAGAGTCCTCCGGATGCTTCAGCCTATTATAACAGTTCCAGTACTATAGTATGTGGAGGGCACTTCCTCTGCAGAGGGTGTAGTACTGTAGTATGAGGAGGGCTGCTTCCTCTGCAGAGGGTGTAGTACTATAGTATGTGGAGGGCACTTCCTCTGCAGAGGGTGTAGTACTGTAGTATGAGGAGGGCTGCTTCCTCTGCAGAGGGTGTAGTACTATAGTATGTGGAGGGCACTTCCTCTGCAGAGGGTGTAGTACTGTAGTATGAGGAGGGCTGCTTCCTCTGCAGAGGGTGTAGTACTATAGTATGTGGAGGGCACTTCCTCTGCAGAGGGTGTAGTACTATAGTATG